GCCAACATAACTCAAAAACCAATCGCCAAAAATCCAAAAGGATATCAAAATAAACAACGATGGCAGGGAAATCACATCCCTAATTAAGAAGTACACTACATTCCAATGGCCTGTGGAAGACCATAATCCAATATAAACTTTCAAGGGAAAATAAAAAGAAAGAAAAAAAAATCTAACACATTCATCACTGTCTAATGAAAGATAGATAACCATGAAATAGAGAGAGTGGGACCCACCAGAATAATATTACATGATCTGAAGGCAGGCCCTTGCATCACCATCCATCATTTTAGTTCATGGACTGACATTTTCGTAGAGTATAACAACCAAGTGAAGTGAAAAAGCTACTAAATTGCCTCTAAAAGGGATACAAGCTTCATGAAGTAGAGGAAGACCTCTGCTAAATCATCAGCATCCATTCACCTGATCTATTTTGTAAACTCTATTGCAAAGACACAAGTTCATAGTACAATAAAAAAGAGAGAGCACTAAAATGTGTACTGAAACTCACGCCTAAAAATCGCCAGCTTTTACAGGCCCCATTTGCTAAATATAGTGTGAGATGCATTTGAAGAACAATAACAAGAGAGAGCACTCAAAACTTCTGAAATAACCAGCAAAAATCATCATCTTCAACAGCTCCCATTTGCTAAATACATTCAAAAGACCAAATTCCAGGAAGAACGATCAGAAAGGCAGTGGACTGTTTGACAATCAACCAACTGATGTGGCCAGTTATAAGGTAATTTCCAGAAGCAATTCTTAGATCAAACTCCAAGGATCGTTTGGCTCCGGGGTGGAATAAACCCTGGTTTTATTTGAAACTCAAGCTTTGGTAAAAACTACTTTCAGCAGTATTTCCTGCAACCTCAAGAAGGGCCCAATCTGGGGTTTTGGAAACCTGGGTTCTGAGTGAAAAAAAGGTGCCAAGCACCCTTGTCTGGAGGGAAACCTGGTTTTATAAAACCAGGTTTTAAGAAATCCAGGACCCATACAGAGCCCAAGCAACAACATGTTGTCTACAAGTTGCATATAAGCCTTTTTTTGGGTGGGGATAGACTATTTCCTCGTCTTCTGAAATTTCTTTGTCTACATCAAATTTGGGCAGATCGAACCATTTATCTTCCTCTTTTTGTATCCAAGGCTTCCTTCCAACAGTGTCATTGCATCCCAGAACTTTGCTTTCCAATAGCTCTATGAATACAGGGCAGGCATATCCATATTGTGGGGCAAGCTACAAATCTGATAGGGCATAAAACCTTCACAAAGTGCACTGTAAAGGCATATTCCCATGACTCAATTAACGAGATAGGGTAAGCATCTGCAGAGACCCACCCTTTGTTCTCTCTAATCGGGGGAAATATTGGGAGATCCTCTGCTTTCAATGGAATTATTAGGTCTCTATCAAGAGAGGATGAATTTTCTTTGTGGTGTTTTGAGGAATTGTATATTAAGCAGGTTTATCTTGGCTCCTCCAAGCAGGCTGAGATTGTTGGACAAGATTTTTATAGATATACTCACAAGCCATAACGAAACTGAAACTGACACTGAGATTGAAGAGCATAAACAAAGGGGTAGAAGTAAAGCCATCAAAAGCCTATATATCTTCCATCATCATTAGATTTATGGATTTACCAAGGCAAATTTTTACTACCAGTTATTGCAAAAGATACAATTTACACAATATTTTTCTGCTTAATTGAACACCCAATCAATAATGTTTAGAGATCACAAAATAACCTGGACAACAATTATGAATTCTAGAAACATGCAACAACCACACTTATAAAGTTTACCATTCTTATAATTTCTTCTTCCATACGTTTTTTAAAATAAATTTAAACTCTCTCACTCAAAAAGATTTTTGTAATGTCTACGAATTAATGCTGATAAAATTGGAAATAATTCTGGAGATATTTTTTTTGTAGGAAGAAAACTTACAAATAATATTCTGCAAAATACTAACTAACATGAGTAACTACAAACTATTTAATAAAATTTAGTTTGACTGCCATGTGCTAAAGAAACATGATAAAAATTTGGTAGCTAAAGATGAATTAATAATCACCATCCAGATATAATATCACCACTTACCCAAAAAAAAGAAAAGACATAATATCACCCTGAAATATAACAAAAAAGGAGTACGGTAAAATCCATCAAATAACCAGTAAATAGATTTACGGGAAATTTATCAAAATACACATGAGAGATCCACTATTTAACATTTGACCCATATCTTTTACTTTAGTTTGAAAATATCCATCAAAATACAGAGTTTAACAATTGGAAAGGGTAAAATGTTAAATTGTTGAATAGTTAAGGGATTTCACCTAGATTTAATCACAAACTACCAATTATAGCAATTTTCTCATTATAGAACACCAACTAAAATTTACAATCACTGATCAATGTTAAGCTAAATGTAGATAATTTGAAAAGTTAGGGGAATTTCACCTAGATTTAATCACAAACTACCTATTATAGCAATTTTCTCATTATAGAACACCAACTAAAATTCACAATCACTGATAAATGAAAAGCTAAACGTAGATAATTTTAAAAAGTTTGGTCTTGAAATGTAATCCATAAAATCACCTGCAAAGCCAGTTCATCCTCATTCTGCCTCTACAATTCTAGAAGAACAGAAACCATTTCCATTTTGATCAGGCGCCTAATCTTTGTTTCAAACACTTTTCTAAGAGAATCCTCATCTTAATTTGCTCTCTTCAAGGCCTGCACAGTCTGAATTCCCTCAATGCTCAAGTTCCGACCTTTTTCCAATGGCTTCCTATTCTTGCTCCTATGTCTCATGAAATGAACCACTTGCTTGAATCTCAACGCTATAAATTGCAGTGAGAAGCTCCACCAGGCACTTCAAGGAATCTATATCCGCCTTGGAAATCCAGGATATCAACTCGTTTTTTATACAATGGAACACTTAATTTAAACAACCTGTGTCGGCCATGGAAATCTAGGGTTTTAACATGGGGGTCAATGGAGGCAAACAATAACTCATCATGCTGAATGCCTTGTTTAAAGCTCAACATAATAAATTACAGTTAGGGGGACCGGAAGCGGCAATCCCAGTTGAACAATTGTTTCATGCGGGCTGGACCGCATTTCTACGATATGCGGTCCAGAGGTGTAAAGTATCCATGCAAGCAAATAGGTGGTGCATCTTAAGTCAATTGTAACTAACGGTACATTTATTTTTGGTTTTCAATTTTGTTTTTTTATATTCATGATCTCTAATTTAAAATTATATATTCCCTTAGGTTCAAATGATATTTTAAAAAAATATTTATTGCCAAGCCCGCATGCTAACCGCGTCCATCGTAACTAACTCGCTATGCCATTAAAGGAAATCAAAAGCTTGGAATTAGGGTTTCTAGTAGGGCTTGGGTTCGTCTATAGAGCCTTATGAAAAGACAAAAAAGAATTTGAGCATTAAAAAGATAGTATATTTTGTGCTTGGACTATCTCACCATCCATTCTTATTTCTCAAAGGCAAAGGCCATGGGATCCACACTTTTCAAAAAAATAAATAAAACAAGTTAAATGTGAGAATTATGTTGTGGCTCTAGCCCCGCTAGGCCCCAACACCCTTCTCGATCTGAACTATTTTTTGACTTCCAAATTCATGATGCCCATTCCACAGACACACGAGAATGGCCAGATTTTCACCACATTCATGTTCGGGTTTTTCTTGGACAAACTTTAAGGATTCGAACTCAAGAAATGAAAGGCTAGAAGACACTAAAACAGTAGAACAACAATATATTAGAATGATCCATGAAAGTAAAATCAGAAGAACGTTTTGTTAAAGGTCCAAAAAAATAAAAATAAAAATCAAATCGTTAATTGAAAGGATTCATTGATATTGAAGTTAATGTCTAATGAGAGAGATGGAAGTTAAATATATAATGAGAGAGATGAGATGATATAAATGATTCAATTATATATCACTATCATCATCCAAGCCTTATCTCAACTAATTTGATGGATGACTCAACTATACATTGAAAAAAAAATAAGCTATGCAACTTCTACCTTTTTTGGATAATTCAATGGGGAAGACAGACCCTTACCCGCTTTTTCAAATACTCCACCACGACCCCACCCCCTTTCCCAGCTAAGCTCTCGTAGCAATGCATGCCAGAAAACAATTAACCAAAACTATCTCCCCCTTCTAACAACCAATGAGAGCATCAAGAGCATGTTTGTTTCATGGAAATCGGTTCTCATATTTGTTATGGAGAAATATGATGTCGTTTTCGAAGTTATTGCCTCTAATAATTCTAAAAATAATGTTAAATGCTGCCAATTGAGAGAAGTTATTTACAAGAGACTACTTTGGTAGCTGCCTCTTCCACCAATCAACACGCCCAAAAGTAATCAAACTTATGACGATGCAATTGCAAGTGTACATTCTTTTTTGTATTCATATGTATAAAACACATTGGATTGCTTCTAATTTTTTCTTTCTAATTTTGAGTGGAGGATTAACAAATCCCATCCGTCTCATTTGAAATCTGAGAAATGAGGTTAATGTAAGTTTTTCTACTGAACCTTTACTGCCTCATGGAATACATTCATGCGCTCATTCAATACATTTTTTAGTTCTTCAGGAAATAGAATTTATACCTTGTATATCACCCTATTATGGAAAGTCCTTCCCTTCATATGTTTAAATTTAAAAGCCAAGTGGTCTTTGTCAAGTTTCAATGAATTGAGCCTAAATTAAATAAAGTTTGTCCCCCCCTGCCCCCAACACCACACACACAAACACTTGCACACATTCATATAATCCTTTATTTGATTGCTGTACAGTAGAGGACTATAGCACAAAATCCATTGCTTGTCCATGTTAATCAAACCAACAAAGCAGTACCTAAATTAACTACCACTTACAAAACATGTTTAAAACCATTGGAATAGAACAACACAATAGTGAAAGTCACAGTGGCCTCTGTGCATATTGTCCCTTAGTATCTTTGCTAATGATGGCCAAAACAACCCATGATCCTTTCCACCAGCTCCCCTGTTGCATTCCAATACTTAATCCTCCACGTTTTTTTGAGAGCCAAAACCACAAAAACTCCCCAAAAGCCTATGAAATAACTCAAAAACAGCATGCCATACCAAGCCCACCTACTCCACTTTGCTTCTCTCTCCTCCCCAACCTCAACCTCAACCTCCTCTTGAGGATCAGAGATGCAATTCTTTCCTGTTGATCCCCCACACAAGAATGGGTTCCCAGAAAATACAAAAGGATTCAATGCAAATGTGTCAAAATGTGGAGAGGATGGTATTTTCCCACTAAGATTGTTGAAAGACACATCTATCCAACCCAAAGAGTCTATTGTAGTGAGGCTTATGGGGATCTGTCCTGATAATTGGTTGTGGCTGAGGTCCAAAGATCCAAGGGTTTTCAGATTCCCAATACTATGTGGAATTTGTTCATCCAAATGGTTTCTTGAGAGGTTCAACATGGATAATACTTTTAACCACCCCAGTTGCTCAGGAATCACACCATCAAGCCCATTATTAGATAGGTCAATTCCTGTGCGATATGAGTAAACAGAACTTAAATCATAACGCATTCCTTTCATAGCAAACTCCAGTTCCATATTCAAAAGCACATGATCAATCAAGTACCCAAGAAGAATTGCAGGTGTCTGTTTGATCAGGCCTTCAAAATTTTTGAGATTTGATGGAATGGGTCCCTCCAGTGTATTGTTTGATAAGTCCATGAACTGAAGCCGGTGCAATTGGGTTATCTCAGTAGGAATACTTCCCCTATAACGGTTGGATGTTAATACGAGGACACGCAACTCTGAGAGATTACCAATGAAAGGAGGGATAATCCCATTGAAAAAACTGTAACCCAAATCCAAAAACTCCAAATCTTTTAGGTCTTGTATAACTTTTGGGAATGACCCATGTAAGTAATTATTGCCCAAACGAAGCGCTTTAAGTTTCCTTGCATATCCAAGTTCGAAAGGAACCTCTCCTGCTAAGTTGTTCTCTGCCAGGTTTAAAGCAATGAGGGAGGTGCAATTTCCAAAAGTTGAAGGTATGGTGCCACTCAAAAAGTTCTGCGACAAGTCTAGGCTCATTATACTGTTGTTTTTAGAACAAAGGGTGTGTGGAATGGCTCCAGTGAGTTTGTTTCCTGAAAAGGAGACATACTTGGCATCCATTAGTTTCTCACCCATTTGGACAGGTATTGAACCACAAAACTGATTGTGAGATAGATCAAAATTCTCTATGTTATTGGGAGGAAACGGAAGGTTTCCATGCAAACTACTATGTGCAAGATTCAGTTCTGAAGGCATGTATGACATTGCAAGACTGAAAGAAGGTGGAAGGGTTCCGTAGAGACTATTGTTAGAGAGATCCAAACTGGACAGTCTTGGAAGTTGCCATAACCAAGAAGGAATGTTCCCAGTCAGGTTATTGTTCGCCAAGTACAGCACTTGAATATTTTTCAATTTAGAGATGTAGCCTGGAATTTTTCCTTGTAGATTGCATGAAGATAACCACAACATAATTGGCTGAAAGGATGTTGGCATCTCCATATGATCTGTGCTTACTGTTAAACCATTAAAAGCCATCCCAACTTGTGTAGGACTAGAATTGACGAACAAAGATGGGAGAGAAACATTACCTTCTAAGGAGTTGTAAGAGACATCAAAGGCTTCTAGTCTTGTGAGGTAACCCACGCAACTAGGAATTCTTCCACTAAATTTGTTGAGTGTTAGTATTAATGTTTGCAAAGAAGAGAGGCCACATATAGTCTGGGGAATTTGGCCTTCAAGGCTATTTTGATATAAGTCGAGTGCTTGGAGGTTCCCAATATTGGAAATAGATGAAGGAATTACTCCCGTTAAGCTATTAAAAGAGAGGTCTATGTACTCTAAGTTTGAGAGGTTTGTCAGGTATGGAGGAATGGGCCCTTGAATGTTGTTGTTTGATAGTGATAGTCCCACTAGAGAAGAGATATTTCCCATATTGTTTGACATAATCCCACTAGTATTGCAGAATTGAAGGTCAAGGAATTGCAAAAATGGCCATGGAAGATCAAAGAAGTGACGAAGATCTATTGACAGATCACGATTACCACCAGCATTGAGCATATGTATTTGAGGAAGGTGTTGAATGGAACCTCGAACATGAGAATTACTAATATCCAGATCTGATAGAAAGTGAGGTTCACAAGCCGAGGTGGGATAGTGGAGAAAAACATGTTGAAACCAAGATATAGAGATGAGAGAGATGTGAGGTTAAGGAGATGACTAATTGGAATTGGACCTGAAATTTTACAATTAGAAAGACTAAGTACTTCGAGCTTGGGCAAAAGCGATATGGGCTCAGCCTAATCTTTACCCTTTGCAGATGACGCGATGGAAAGATCAACCCCATTTAGTGCAAGAAACCTAAGTTCAGTAAGCCTTTCCAACCATAACAATCCATGACTCAAGAGCAAGCCAGAAGAGACATAAGAATAAGGATAATCATGAATTATCTTATAGGTTGACAAGTTCACCGAAATCGATGACTTATCATCTACTAAAAAAGAGCAAGAAAGATCTAGTGTGCGCAAGGAAGATAAATTACTCATTTGGTTTGGAATTGCACCAGAAAAACCCGCATTTGATAAATTCAGATATTTGAGGCCAAGGAGATCTCCCAGCTGATCAGGTATCATTGAATGATGAAAGTTATTGCAACTAAGATCAAGATACTCTAAATACTTGACGCCAGAGAAGAGCAAAAGAGAGATGGTACCACTGAGGTCCCAAGAATCATCAGTAAGGGCAAGAAGCTTACCATTTGGCCGACGAAGAAGGAGGTGCGGATTCGGGTTTCTAAGATTCAATTCTGTGACATGGGTAACATTATATCTTTGAGCACACCTGATTCCTTTCCAAGTACAACAGTCTCCATTTCCTTCCCATGAAGCTAAGCGACCCCGACGATCTGTTAGGCCAGCTTTGAGGCTTAGTAGAGCCCTTCTTTCATTTGGGGTGCAAGCCCAAGAACAGAGGAACTGTAGTATTATGACTACAGCTAGAGTTGTTGAGAGTTGGATTTGCATGGTTGTTTAGACAAGCACAAGCACTCACTGTGAAGGCTTTCTTTCTCGGGACTCCTTATGCATGGGGTTCGGATCTTTTCAAGTTTTGTACTCCACAGGCTTAGGAATCTAGATTGGAGAACTCTGTCTACCACTAAGTATTGGATTCATGCTTAGCTACACAATACTAGGAGAAAGGCTGAGGGTTATATCGACGTTCCATGACATATTCCTCCAAGGATCATTTAATATATACAAGTCAAGTGTTGAACAAGTGAATATATGGAAAATGGAAAAAAATATGATGTATGCTTCCTGGTACAATTATGTTGCTTGTCATCTGAGCAACCAGAGCTAGAAAAGAATTCAAAACTCGAAATATGCATTTAGAAACACTTATTGAAAGTTCAATACAAGCTACCAATGTAAAAAGTAGTGCACATAACATACTCCCACAGGAGCACATTATGCATCTAGTCTCAGGCAAAAGACTTTTTTAGGAGGATCTTTTCAATTAAAAATTTTGGGATCCACTTTAGAATCCCCAAATATATGTTAAAGAAGAAGAAAAAGGAAAAAGTAAAAGAAGGATCGTGAATTCTTATTCACTGAGATCTGGCCAACAAAAATTTGGTGGTTGGCCTTTATTTAGTATTAGGGCCTTATTTTTGTCGGGCACAAACGGAATGGGTTGGGTTTTTTTTTTCTTTTTCCTCAAGTTAGGAGCCCGGTTGAGGAGGTTGCAACATAAGAATTTGAAGTCCTAAAAATACTTCTAGATAAAGTTTTACCCCGATAATATGCTCCCATGGGAAAATATAAAATTTTGGCATGTAAAAGAGAAAATAATTATGTAATAAATGTAACCAGAAGGTATGGAGGCATTTGACCAAACTAATGTATAAGTGTAATAGAATGCCACATAGGAAGGCCTCCCCACCCACCATGAATACGATTAGTCATCTGTACTGTGTGGTCCTTTTCATAGGAGTTGAATTTTGAGTTACTGTTCATTATTTTGACACCTAACTCTAATATGATACACTTTGACCTTATCCCATTGTTATGGTCCTTTTCATAGAAGTTGAATTTTGCCTCATAATCCGTATGTTACTTGTTTGAGTCGCTGGCATTGTACTACCACATGAGTATATTGTCTATTTAGTCATCCACTCGCATAACACCCAATGTAGGAGTAATTTTAGGACTCTAAATTAACCTCTTCAACCAAAAAAAAAAGAAGGAAAGAAAGAAGAAAAAAGAAAAGAAAAGAAAATTCCATTCTCTACATATTAGAAAGAAAAAAATGTCTCAAGATTGAATAAAGACAAAACCAATTTTGAAGGGCAAGATCTAAGCGTCAAAAACTCAATAATTTAAAAAAAAAAATTCTTTTAAAAATAGCTATTTAGTGATTCTTAGATTGTTCCAAAAAGTACAGACTTAAAAAAAAAAATATCGCCCAATTAGTTCTTTCGAGTGAGGGAGTAGATGGACAATATGCTCCCGCAGGAGCATAGTATATAATCACCGACGAACTTTCATATGCACCATATTCTATATTTATTTAAATCTTTTCCTCTCGTTTCGGAGGCATAGTCTTATTCGGAAAAACGTCATTAGCCCGAGTCTTGCAAGAGCTCAGAAAGGGTTCAAAAATTGTAAAAAATATAAAGATAATTAAAAATAAGTTATAAAAATATTTAAAATCTATAAAAAATGGAAAAAATAAAAAAAAGATGGATAATGAAAAACTTTAATTTGCAGTTTGAAACAATTCAAAAGAGTTTAACAAAAAATAAAATTTAACACTATAGCACATAATAGAAAAATATCACCGATTCTTCGCAAAAAGCATAAAAATTATCAAGAAATGTATTTATATATCGCTTATTAACAATTTAGTAGCACATTTTATTAAAGTGATTTTGAAAAATCCGATTTGGTCAACGAAAAGCCCATGCCATTCCGAGTTAGCCGGTCGAGTCCTAGGCAACTCAACTCGGTCGAGATGAGAGCGCATTGCTCTTCTTCGATGTTTTCCTGTTTCCAAATCCAGTTCTTAAAGCGTGCGAATGGGTCACTTCTTTATGTGATTTTCTGGAACTTCTTGTGTCCTTCATTTTGGTTTTTCTTCAGGGAGCCCGACGAAGAAGCCTCATCTTTACCAACAGATTTCTGAGCGCTCATCTCCTCCCTTTCTTTTTTTTTATCTCCTTTTTTTTACAACTTTTGTTTTGTTGGTGTCTCTAGCCTTATTTTACCCCTTTCATTCTCTCAATGATATTGATGTCTTAGTTAACCGCGTCAAAAATAAAAATTTGATGAAAACATATCTTCTTCTTCTTTTTTTTTAAAGAATAATGATCTTATGAAACCCTCCCACACCCATATATATAAGACTTCAAAAGATCACCATTAAATTTGATATAGATCTCTAAAAAAATCAAGTCCTGTACCCATGTGATAACTTTTCTAAAGATATGTATCAAATTTAATGGTGACCATTTAAAATCCTATTTAATGGTGCTCCTTTAAAGTCCTACACACATGGATGTGAGAAGATCTCATAAGATGTTACTCTTTTTAAAAATATCATGAATACAAAATCCTCTTCCAAAGAGAAAAAATCTCATCAATTTGGTTTCATGTTTGAATTTTATTTATTTTTTTAAACCTCAACTTTGTTTATTTCTAATAAATCCAAATCACTATCCTCTCCTAAGGAGAAAAAATCTCCTCAATTTGGTTTCATATTTGAATTTTATTTATTTTTTTAAACTTCAACTTTATTTATTTCTAATAAATCAAAATCACTTGAAATTTTGATTGTAAATGAAA